GTGTATTCATTGGAGCTATTTGTATCAAATCAAGTTTTTTACTCAAATATTAACTTAAATTTGGGTAAAAATTTGAGCCATGATTGAAGATGCTCTTATGAATAAATCAAAAGAATACTATCGATACCGGTGTATCTTTTTTAATGGGTGGTTTAATGGCATATCTATAGGATCTTCTATTCTTTTCACATTATTATACACAATTGGAGATTTTCCTATTATTTGTGCAAAATCAACTTTCATGTATCCATCTAGGTCCTGGTAGTATGTGCCCAATGCATTATTCTTCCTTTGTTGTTCTTCTCTGAGTAACATTTAATACCCAGTGGCTACGACTAAGGTTCAAATAAATTTCTTACCTTCATTCCTTCAAATTTCTTTCTTAATTCAATGTCTAAATTATTTTGGGTCAATTTTAAAAGTTATATTTTAGGCATATAGACATGACATTTATTTATTCTCTTTTTGAATTTGTCGATGTACTTTTCTGCAAACTCATTAGACTTTTGTCTTAGTTTGAATAAGTCTGTCACCGACACTTTTCTTCATTTTGAAATAATTGAGTATGAAACTATTTTTTTATCTTTTGTTATATCTTAATTAAATTAGCTAATAAGTTAATGAATCATGAAAAATCAGTTTTGGTCAAAGATTGTGGGAATGACTTTATTTTTAAATTCCCATCGTTCCCAATTTCACAAAATTAGAAAGTAAACCTACCAATATGCTCGATTATAGATTGATTCCCTTTTTCAGATAATTAGTTAAATTCAATAATTTTATATTCTCTGCGAATTTCCTCAAAGTCTAAGCATGGTCAAGGGTTCAAGTTTCATTCCTCCCCCAAAAAAAAAAAAAAAGTCTAGGCATGGGGATATGATTTTCTAAAAATTGGTCTCTTTGTCTTTTGAAGTCTATGACCATACAAGTCTTGAGTCATTTCCATTAACTGGTTTTTTATTGACAACAATGTTGTTATGGATTTTTATGTTTTCAAATAGTTCTAGGGGTTACTCAAGTCAGGGGTTCATCTGCTAAATGGATCTATATAAGGCATGGGGTGTATCTCACGACTCCTCCTAGGGTGATCTTGAGCCACCCTAGGCCAATTTCTACCCCTACGATTCGTAGGGTGATAAAAATTAGAGAAGAGCTCGATAGGTTCTCTTTCAAATATCATGTTAAAGTGGTTTTGATGTTAAAAACTAGGACCCATGTTGGGTGCCATCATTGGTGGCCCTTGGTTTTCTACAAGAAAAAACATTGGATTGATATTTCCTTCCTCTAATATTGGGTTTCGAATAATATTAAAGGACCTTTAATTCATGTGTCCTGACATATTTATCGGGCCACTCATTAATTCATGCATGACATTCATCAAATTATGCCTAATGCTTTGGTAAGGATCATGCAATACATGTCTCAGACCACTGGTTTGGCCATTTTCTTACATTGTAGGTTCCACTATTAGCTGTATATTTATTTTTGATTAAATGAATGCCATGCCATGCCATGTGTGAATTCTCCTTGACTTTTAATCGTCTATTCACCAAAACTGTAAAATTTGGTCCAAACAGTTTGATATCATTCTCTGGCGATGACGTTCAGATTTTGTGACTTTCCATTTGTCTCACTCCAAGCATTAATGGTAATTAATTATTTTGCCTAAATCCCAATAATGCCCTTGATTTTTGCTGAACCTGAATTGAAGTGCCGGGAACGGAACGGTAATGGGAGTAATAGATTTAAATAGGAAGGGCCAAGAAGACTGCTACTGGCTACTGGCTACTGGCTACTGGCTACTGGCTACTGGCTACTGGCTATGCCTAATGCTTTGGTAAGGATCGTGCAATACTGCTGTTTTGGGACTTCCTTACCTTACCTTAGCTCACCCACACAAAGACATTAGTGAGTTGTTGCAACTAGTTGATTCGATTAGGCCAGGGGCGTGCGTATATGAGTCAAGTCAACCAATACTAATTAAATTACATCAAAATTTAAATGAAGCAGGCAATAGGAATTAGTCAATATCAAAGTCAATCCTTAGTTTCAACTTAATAAAGTTGTGTCTAAACTAATAAAAAAAGACTAAATAAATCTTTTTTTGCCATAAACAGTCAAATCCCTATTTTAATGGTACTTAAGGGAAAAAATAATTATATTTAATGTTTTTCTTTCTCAGTAGAATGAATCCTTATTTTAATTAAAGCGTCCTTTTATCCCTCTCTCTCTTTAATCAAAAGATTTGTTCATTAAGTGAGTGCTGATTCTCTCCTCTTTTCCGCCGCTGGTTTTTTTTTTTTGCCTCTCATAGACTTCCGTCCCGGCAAAGGCCATTGTTTTTTTTAAATGGAGTGTGAGATTGCAAAACAGAAGACTTCTTTCACTATCCAAGTCGTAGCTTCATCACCCAAAATGTCAAGCCCAGCGTCGAGGAGAGGTTTCTTCATGGCTCAACTCACCCTCAGAGTTTTGGCCATTGGGTTTACGCTTTCTGCAATAGCTACAATGGTCACGAGTGCCCAGTCAATATCCATTTTTGGAATTGATATGCAAGCCCGTTACACCTACTCATCTGCATTCAGGTAATTATTATTATTATTTTTTAAATCTCGATCGCCAATACGAACAAAACAAAATCGAAAGAAATGCATTGAGACTGACCACCCCTTTCTGTGTTTGTTTTATTTTATTTTATTATATATATATATATATATATAGGTTCAAAGTTGGGGCAGATGCTGTGGTATGCGCTTGCTCTTTTATGTCACTCATCCTTGTTTCTGCGTTGAACCATCCAAAATCAAACACCGGAAATTATTTCTATGCGCTTTTGCATGATATGGTAAGCAAAATTTATTGCTTCTTCATTACTGTTTCATTCCTAGAATAAAAAAAAAAAAAAGAAGAGAAGAAAACTAGAAAAAATTAATGTTTTCTACCTATACTAAATATGGAGGAGTAAGTTGAACTCAAGTTGAATCTATGGTGGTGGGTAGGGGTGTTAATTGTGTCGGATTAAACGGTTACGTGTTGGACTAAACGAGTGATGAGTGAAAAACGTATAAACTCATACACAACACGACACGTTTAATAAACGGATAAAAAATCTCAACACGAACACGACTCGTTTAATAAACGGGTAACACGACACGACTCCTTTAACCCGTTTAATTTTAAAAACATTATAATAACAAATTTTAATACTTCATTTTTTTTACTACTAATTACACTTAGTTCAAAAAAGAGAAATTTTAAATCAAATCTCATAAAAATAAGACTTGAAGGCTTTAAAAAAAAAAAACAAGAGGCTATTACCTTTTGTAGGTAACTCACTCTCCCCATCTTTTCTCATTTTCTAATATGGGACAAAAATAAAATACATTTGTCTTTATCTTTGAAGTGTTTTATAACTCCTTTCATTTGTCTTTGAAAAATAAGACTTGAAGGCTTTAAAAATAAAAGCAAGAGGCTATTGTCTTTTATAGGCAACTCAACCCTCCTCATCTCCCCTCATTTTTCAACGTGGAACAAAAAAAAAAGACATTTGTTTGTCTTTGCCTTTGAAGTGCTCTTCAACTCTTCTTCTTTATCTTTGAACTACTACTGTACTTTTTTTTTTATTGATTTTTTTATTTCTTTTTTCTTGCTAATTTTTTAAAATAATTATTAATTTATTATTATATTAATTTTATTTAAACGGGTAAACGTGTGATAAACGGTTTGACAGGTCTTACCCGAACATGATCTGTGTTATTAAACGTGTTTGACGTGTCGACCCGTTTATCATTTAAATCCGTTAAAATCTCACCAAAACACGTTTAATTTGTGCCGATTAATTGTATCGTGTCGAATTTTGACAACCTAGTGGTGGTACTGTTTCGACAGGTGACGATGGTGTTGGCGATATCGGGATGTGCGGCAGCAACTGCGGTGGGTTACGTGGGTCGTTTTGGACAGAGCCAGACAGGTTGGATGGCCATTTGCGATCACATGGGTAAATTCTGTGGCAAAGTGATGCTTTCCCTTTTATTCTCTTACTTGGCCTTCTTTTCCCTCTTCACGCTTACAATCATGGCTGCATACAAGCTCAAGTCTCCGGCGGCCATGGAATGAAGGAGGACCAGGAGGGCTGCTCTGTTCTGTTTTCTAGGATTCTACATTCTGTACACACTCAATTTGCATGCAGGAAATCAGTATAAGAAAAGAATTATGTATGTAGGCATCAATACATATAATATCTTCTCTTGCTAATAATTACCTGTCATGATTTTGCATACTACTACCAGAACTTGAAGCCCCTCTAAAAGATGGTTTAAATTCAAAAGGTTATTGATATATATAGCTTTATCCTATCCTGAGACTAGAACCTGAAAACAAATCAATGTTCATTCCTTCAAGGTGGAATAACCTCTTGCAATCCATGAAAGTAACTACCTAGGAAGTAGACTGAGAAGACAGAGATCAAGTTTCATCCCCACACAGTGACGACACAAATAGTTTCCATTGCTTTGTCAACATGGATCTTGCTCTTATGGTAAACTTCACTCATGGCAACCATCACATTGTTGTGATATATCTAATCCTCTTTCCAACTCCAATGTACATATCCATATTCTGATACCCCTTATCTACATGAATATAGGTTCCCCAAACGATGGACTAAGAAAACCATGGATGCAAAACACCCTAAAGTAAACATACTAATTCACATACCTATGAAATCTGTTTTCAATAAATACACCCTGGTTCTGGATATAGATGGGCTGTGCATAGTGGTGAGGCTTTAAAATAGAATAAAGTGGAGGTTTTTGAGATGCCACATAGTAAAACATGATACAAAACACTAACACCTGGTTATCTTGGAGGAGTATATGTTTGCTTGTATAAGAATGTACAATAGTCTCCGGGCATCATCATCCGCTGAAGTGTAAAACGGCAAATATAGAAATTCTTCGCCAATTACAAAATGACATAAAAGAGAAAGGTCGCACAGTGCTTCATTCAGGTATCATCTCCTCTTCACTGTCGTTAAGGTGCTCTTTCAGGATTAGACCTGGCATCTCCCATTTTTTACTATCCCATGCTGAATCTATTTCAGGCAACTCATAGTCATCAGGTTTTAGTGACTGCTGAAATTCTGGAAGATCGGGTAAGATTTGGAGACCCCTGCATCATATTCCAAGTAAATATAATGAAATGTATCAAAGAGGCGATATCACAAGAATCAAGAAACAGCGGAAGCTTAGAAAGAGAGGGGATATCACAGAACAATGTTGAACTCCTTACTTGTCTTGGTCTATAAGGGAGCCATACATCTGAGACTTCCTAGATGCAGTTTCAGGAATTTTCCTATTTAAATGCTTCATAGCACCCTGGAGTGGAGGAGCCCTTAAGAAAAGAAATCAGGGAGTGATTAGAGGAATTAAGACAATGCGTTCAAATGTGACAGCACCATAATGGAAGGATTTCTTCGCATTGAACGTAACACATTCAAATCCAACCTGGTCACAGGAACTGCAAGGCAAAAGCTTAAACATGCCTTCTTGCTCTCTGCTAGTAGTTCGTCAGCAGCAAGGAAACAACACACAGCACTAACGTGGCTTGCTGGTTCGGTACCCTTGTCAAGTATTAGACCATGGAAATAATAAGCTGCAGCCTGACAATGATATAGGTTTATTACTATCTGGACAATGGAAAGTACATAATACAGGAAAAACAATACTGAGAGCAGTGAGAACCTTCGCTTCAAGGTACTTCCATTTGATGAACAACAGATGCTTCTTCCCATGTCCATTATTGTTGTTGTATCCAGACAAGCAGTAATGAGCCTGATAAAGGGAGAAAAGGACTATGCTTTTAGATACATGAGTACACTTCCATATCTAGGACATAGGCAATTGCTTTTCTAGCGAGTCTACTTCTAGAAACAAAACGAAAAGAAAATAAGGCAGTTTCAGTGGAATAACAACATGAAGCTTCGAGTTGAATTCCCAGAAGAAACAAATCAACAAATAAAAGAAAAGTACACGAGGGCAGCCTGCAAGGGAAGGGCTTAATCTTCTATCCTGTCTTTCTTTCGTTCCAACACAAAACCAAATCAAGCAGGAACAACCAATTGTTCCAATAAAATCCATCACATATACGGGTGTTCAAGTGAAAACACCAAAAGAAAATATAAAGAGAGTAGTTTTGAAAAATATAATTACTAATCATCTGAATGAGAGATGAATACAGGCATTGTTTGTATCATTTTCGTGATCTTTTAATGTTCCATAAATGGCCCATAAGACAAATGCATTTTTCAAAAGAATTTGTCTAAAATCGCAACTTCGCATCAGTCAGCTAGGTGTAATCAGGGAGATAATCTATCAGGAAAACCCCTTAGCCTGCAAAACCTAAATATGTTTACAGCCTTAGCAGTGATATTCCAGAAGGAAGGCCAATTTAGTGAACCGCAATGTGTAATTCCTCTAATCATTATAGTGAAACAAATGTATGGGAGCTTTCCCATGTCAAAAGCATCCCACAAATGCTATATAAATCACGTGCCTGTATCCACCCATCCTTCTTCCTTCATGCACTTAACCAATCTGTAGCTGTACCATTTCTTTCCAACATATTCGACTCATCCTGTCAAACTTTGCAATCTCATGCAGAAACCTTGATTCTATTTTCAGATTGATATTTTAACGGATTTTAGTACCCAGAGACTTAGTTTATTAAGAAGAAGAAGACATTACCGAATACTGAACTACTACTTTTGCCTCTTCATGCACCAAATAACAAAACAAATAGATGCAGGAAGGAGCACTTCAACTGAGATTGGCCTCAAGGTCATCAAGAGAAACATGACATTCCAGACAAGGAAATTGGCAGTTATCAGCTTTCTAATAAGCCAACTTGATAAAACATATACAGCTTCTCAACCACTATTCACTTGAAAGTTGTCTAGAATTTACAAGTTGTAATGTTGCTTGCTCAGTGAATCACGAAATTAGCAGTGTAATCAAAACAATATTTGTCAAGGATAAGTGGAAACTACATGATTTTGTGCCTGCATTTTTGAAAAACAACATACCTGCCCAAAATAGCTCAACTGTTCACAAGCCAGCCTCCTTTTCACTGATAAAGTGGCATTTTGACTTCCAACGGCTAAACTGAGCTGCATTTCAGTTCCCTAGATTTGTCATCTAACAGAGTGTCAACATGTATTTGTGCCATTGATGCTTTGAAATAATCACTTTAGTATCATTTAGGTTGTAGAGGTAAATAAGATATAAGAATGATTGAAATACATTACTCGTATCACCATAGAATAGGTTGCTGAAAGTAGATCCATTCTCCTAGTTCCTCTTTTTTTTTTCTTTTGTTTTTTGAGCAAATGACATGATGCACGAGTAGTGGGGGATGGGAATGAAGTGGACATCGGCATACAAACCGTTTAACAACTACATGGACCTGGTGTCTTCCCATTCTTGTTCTTATTTCTTAATGTGTAGGCAACACTCTACATGCACAATGATTCCTCAACCACAATATCTCTTATTGCTCTTACGTTAATTTTCTGTGAACAAGTTGAAAATACATAGTCATCTCCTCATTAGAAAATTGGGATGTGGCACATTATAATTCTCCGTGAGTGGTGTCATATATGAATCAGGTTTCTTAGAAAACCTAAACAAATGTGTACCTGCCCTAGTGCTTGAATGAAACTAGTCTCTAAGACATTCTCCTGCAAATCTTTCGGCAACCTATTCCTAATCACAAAAAGATGATTTTTAGAAATAGAGGCTAATAAGAATCCGAGCTAAAATAGCCAAAACTATATGAATATATGCTTACTTAATATCAGGTGGTATGTGAAGGAGAACCTCCCGGACACAAAATTCCAAGTAGCCAGCTGCCTTCAGCAATAAATCAACAGCATCCCTCATGCTTTCTGGCAGTACACTCGCTAAGAATTTCCGATCAGCCAAGGTTTCCATCAACAGGGTCAAATTGGATTCCAAAAAAGTCAAATATCTGAGAGAGACAAACCTGCGGATACAACTCTTTCAGAAGAACCAGCATGATTCGTAGGAATCAGTATTGAATTCGCCTCCGTCAATGTCAACATAGCCATCATGTGGAGAACAGAGAGCACTTCAAACCAGGAGTTTGCGACACAGGCTTCCTGATCATCAAATAACAGATCAAATTTATCCAAAATTTATATCATGACTAAATATTTTGCACAACAAACATTACTTTGTGGGATTCTTACTTGCCGTCCATCTTGTAAACTTCTCCACTTGAATTCCACTAATTCTTGAAGACCATGATCTGTTAATCCAGAATTACTCATTCTAATACATTGTTTAATATGAATACCTATGGATGTAGAGTGACAGAAAGAGTAAAACCTTTGGCAGTTAGGCCAACTAGAAGAGGCAAGTACTCCTCCAGTGCTCGTTGTAATTCGGGAATAGCAGACCCACCTGGAAAATCAAGAAGTTGTCGTGAGAAAAGTGTGTCATACGAGAACCAACGGAAAGAAAAACAAAAACAACGGGCTCACAACAAGACCAGACCAGTGTCCTCTGCCACTAACACGATCTGATTCCGAAGTGAACTTATTCTATCGGCAAGATCTGTCGGTATTAGGCGTCTAAGCGTCCTCTGAACATCACATTGCCCGGGAACACGCATTGAGGGGACAAAGATCGAAACTTCAGGAATATTCTTCTTCTTCTCCCTGCTTCCAACTGCGTGTACAGAATATGTGCAACCCATTGTTCTTGCAGTGCACTATTTTTGAAATATAACATCCTACATCGACATTGATATATAACAGAATTCTGTATTTTAGTCCAAAAGTAATTAATCACAAATTATACTACCTGTCAATCAAAATTGAATTGAAGCCCAAATAACTAAAAAGCCTATACAACTGAGGCAACGCTGTGTTGTGTATACAAACGCAGGAGCATATACAGAGAAAGTGGAGCAGAAAGAGGGGGGGGGTAATAATTGATGAGAACCCAAATATTGGTGGATCAGTATGGATAGTTAAAGCGAGCAGGTTCCGACTTAATCAAGAAAACCAATAAAATATAAATATTTGTGATTATGTGCAGATGGAAGTAGATATCAGCAGAATAAATGAGTATAATGTGGAAAAACTTACTGGTTTCTTGGAGGAGAGAGGAAGAAGAAGAAGAAGAGTTGCGAAGCTTAGAGATGTTGATATAGCCGGGGGAGAGAGAGAGAGTAGCTTCTGGGAGTACGAAGCTCAGTGACCGAGAAATCAATCACATGGTGAATGCGTAGGAAGTCATAGTAATAGTACACATTAGTGCGCTATTATAGGTGTCTCAGCGATTATGGAGGGAATGAATGGAAATTTGGATCCGGAAAATTATTTGTTTATGAAAAGCTAAGTTTGACTTTCTTTAATGGAACGATGGCTTCGATCGTGAACTTCATAAGTAATTTAAGGGGGGTAACAGAGGCTAATTGCAATTGCATGAATGTCTTTTGTATATCTGAAATTCCTTGGTGAAGTCACACGCACACACATAATCAATTGGGTGAAGGACGGGGTGGATAGGAATTAGAAAAGGAAACGAGAACACAACCCTGGTGTAGTTGCAGCAAAAGCATCGACTGTATTGAATTTTGATGCTGCTTTTGGAATCGGCATAACTTATGTGCGGGCTCGATCCTGCACGATATATAAAATATTGGGAACAGATCTCTCCCCTGGTGAACTCTGAGTGAGCCGGTTGAGTGGCCAAACACGCTGCTTGAAACAACCTTCGAGGTACGGTGGCAACCTGGAACGGCAAATGAAGGCCTTGGGAAAGGAAGAACGATCCTGTACGTGTGAAAGGTATTTCCTGGAACAAAGGAGAACAAGTTAGAAGGGCGCCGGAGTGTTTTCCGGCGTATCCCCTCCGACGGTCTAGTCAGTCTTTGAATGAGAGAGAGGAAGGAGAAAACACTGAGAAGGATATTTTGTAGTAGAGAGTTTTTGATTACATACCGGCTTTGTCTTTTGGGAGGGGTATTTATACCTTAGAAGATCATGATTGCTGTCAGTGTGGTCAGTAGGTGATCATCAGGCACAGGTAGCGTGTGTAATCATTTGATGAGGAATGTCTTCTCTAATTGACTGCTCGGGGTCCCGAGCAATCAATGCCGAGTTGTCGGGACGCCGACGGTACAATATGCTCCTTTCGGGAAGGATGCAATAAATGCTCTGTAATAGGAGCATTTATTGCCTTTCATATCCGAACCTTACCGCATTGAATGCGGTCTTGTCAACAGAAGGGTGCAATTAATTGTTTGCTTTCCCAAGTCGCGTGCCAGCAACGGCATGTGGTTTGTCTGCTTCGGATGTGACATTATTTGCCACGCGTCCATCCCTTATTGGCTGTCACGTCGGTATTCCAGCACGTTCTGACATTACTTGTGCAAGACGAGGCCATGATGAATAGCCTGGACTGGCATAGGCTGATGTCCCGAACGTCAGTAGCTTTATCCGGGAATAGAGGAAGCGTCCAGGATAGAGTGACCCTCGGCACCGAGGAAAGACTCACCTCGGGGACCGAGGGCGATATGTTCGAGCTACACGGTGACCGAGGACACGTGTCGTTGTATAATGCACCGAATATGTGATCCTATATGAGAGGTACCTCGGGGGGAGAGGACACTTTGCCGATGGTGCTTTGAACCCGAGCACCATTGTTCTAGAAACCCCGAGGACACGTGTCTTCATCATAGGGCTTTTCAGAAGAGTCCCATCAACTACCCCCCAGCCTTCGATCTTCTGACACCGAGGACACGCGTTGTAAGGAGACGAAGGGTTTTCCAACTGCCATCCGTCCTTCATTATGGCCTCGAGCAGCTTTCCCCGGCTTGGGACGTCGTGCGCATTAAATGCGCTGTTTTGGTTCTCCCGCCCAATGATGACAGTTTCCCCCCTATATAAAGGGGGTTCTTCTCTGGTTTCCATCGTTTTGCCATTCCGATCTCTGACCCAGAATACGCCTTTTCTGATCTGCTCGCCGGAGTTTTTGTTTCCCTCAGCCATCGTCGACAGCGTTTTCTCCTAAAATCACAGCCAGTAAACCCATTGTTGACTCCTGGTCTTTCCGGTGCGAGTTATTTTAAAGTTTTTCCTGAAAAACTCCGTTTTCGACGTTTTCGGGTGAGTTTCACAACCTTCTTCTTTATCGTCCTCCTAGCCTTTTTGTTTTCCGATTGAACGGTGGTGTCATCCGGTCGGTACGTCTTGATTTAAACCCTCGGGAACTTCCTCAGGTTTTCAAGAGAGAACACCTTTTCCTTCCCTTTCTTTTAGAGATGCCTCGTCGTCGCCCTGCTCCCGAGAATCCATCGGCTGGTCCCTCGGGGTCAGGGAAATACAAGGTGACAGGCGAGGCGCAGATCGATAGGTTCAGGGTTAAGTATGGCATCCCCCCGAGCGTGGACGTAGTGGGTTTTAACCCTTTGTTGAACTCTCCTACCTTCGGGGCCGCGGATGCCATGCCTTTCTATACCAAGGCCATCATAGAGGGTGGAATTAGGTTTCCTTTACCCCCCTGCTTCTTCAGTTCCTGTCTCGCTTCCGTCTCTTCCCCGGGCAATGCTGCCTCAACGTCTTTCGAATAATTATGGGGGTCCTAGAGCTCAATAGGCGCCTCGGGGTGAATATTGGGCTCAATGATCTCCTTTTCTGTTACTCCCTCCTAAGAGTCATGCCTCACCAACCTTCTACCTCAAAGCCAGGGACCCCTCCATGTACCTTGTAACCCATCTTCCTGATTCGGACAAGGGGTACAAGGACGACATCTTGATCTTCAAGGGATGTTGGGAGAGGGGTGTTGGTCCGAGTACAATGACTTATTTTGCCCTCGGGAATGGAGAACGACAAGTACGTCGGTTCCTTCGGGTTCTTTATTTGTTTCTTGGGACTTCTCATGTTTATGACAATCTTTTTTGTTGTGCAGATATTCCTTCTCGGGAAACAGCTCCACCCCTCGGTCGCTGGTCAATTTGCCGACCTAGTAACGGTTTGGAGTTTCACGGGCGCCGACGGATTTGGCCGAGCTGCCCATAATCTGCTGCACTATACCCCCGGGTATAAGAAGTTCTCACAGCTCCCTCAACCTTTCGAGCCTTCGCAGTGGTCAGAGCTCTTGATCAGGCGGCGAGGCTAGAGGTCGAGCAGAACTTGGAGGAAGACCCGGATCGGGCTTCAGAGGGAGAGGTAGAGGGAGTTGCTGAGGAGGTCGGGGTCAGAGAGGACGTTGCTCCTTCGGACGCCGAGGTGGGGACTTCGGGAGGCGACTTGTGGCCCGATTTTCAAATTCTCCAATCTTTGGACGCCGAAGACGCTCTTGAGGAAGCGATGTCCAACGCCCCTCGCATTAAATTGGGGTTTCTTAGGCAGAGGCAACCCTCGCAGCCGGGAGAGGTCGAGGGACGACCGGCGGTACTCCGGCAGGAACCAGTTCCGCCAATCTTCGAGGGGCTCCCGGTCAGGGTCAGGTGCGAGACCGGATCCTCAGGTGGAAGAGGAGAGAAGGGTCAAGCATCGGCATGACGGCCTCAGCCGGGGACCCAGGGCACCTCCCGCTCAACATCAAAGCGGGAGGGATCGTGGATTACCGCCTGCTCCCCACAACAGCAACAACAGCAACAACAGCCCCGACAACAGCAACACAGCAGCAACAGCAACAACAGCAGCAGACTACTCCTCCCTCCCATCCACAGTGGAGGCCGCGGTGTGGAATCCTCGGGCCACTGATCACATGAACCGAGTGATCAGGGTCCGATTCCATTCTGCAGGATCCCCATGTCGCCATGCAGTGAGTGAGACATTGCATTTTGAGGCTGACATGGAGGCTCATCGGGGGCGATCAACCAACGTGTTGTTCCGCTCCATGATCCAGAACTCCCTGGTGGTGAGTTTATTTTTGCTTTGGTTCCTTCACTCCCTGTTTCCCTTTTTGTGTTTTAACACTTTTTCCTTCCTTTGCAGGCTACCCAGCAGATTTCTATCATTGCTGGCCGGTACCACGCGTCCAGGATGGACCTTCAGAGGGCCAAGGATCAGAAGGCGGAAGCGGAAGCTGCCCTTGCTCGGGCAACGGAAGATGTTGCTGCCAGGGATTCTACCCTGGTGGGGCAGGCTGCCCAAATAGAGCAGCTCCTCAAGGACGCTGAATCGGCCAAGTTGGGCGCTGAGAAGCTAAGTGCCGCACTTGCCGATGCTGAGAGGAGGATTACTGAGCAAACGCAGCGGCTCTCTGCTGCGGAGGAGAGGGCAGTGGGCTCCGAGGAAAGCTGTCTGGCCCTTACCCAGGAGCTAGACAGGATCAGGGCCGAGGAGCTGAACCGGAAGTCGGAGGAACAACTCTGGAGGAGTTTGCCGATGACGTGCTCCCCGCTCTTGAGGAAAACAGCAAAGAATTCTTCAAGAAAGGGTGGGACGAGGCACTCCAGGCTGCGGAGTCCCGTCAGACTCCCCTCTCTTCCAAGTGCACAAGTATGTGCCCTCGGCGGAGATGGCACAGGCAGAAGCACAGGTTGCTGCCGAGGATGAAGCCCCTACGCCGATGCAGATCTCGACTGATGCTCCCGAGACGGTGTGATAGTGGACTTGTCCGAGGACGCTCCGTCGGACCTTGCCTCTGAACCTCAAGCTGCTCAAACTGTTCAAGCTGTTCCCTGCTGCCGAAGTTCTTCTCCTGCCCGCTCCAGAAGCTTCTCCAACCATTTATCGC